GGGGGGGGGGGGGGGGGGGGGGGGGGGGGGGGGGGGCAACCGTTAGCTGAAGTGTTAATTACCCGGTTGTTCTTTCAGTGATAGTGCGAAAGTCGTTCGCGGTGCACTTGAGAAGGGAACCGCGGAGGGGGGGGGGTCAGTAGAAGTCCTTGTTCGGCAAGATGCTACACTGCTTTGGGCGAGGAACGATATTACAGTATTTTTGCAGCTGGCGGGACTTGCGCTAGAAGGGTTGGGTTAGATCTGTTTGTAACTCGAGCTTCCCCTTGTTTCCGGTTGCACATGGAGATGATCTATTTAGAAAATGCTCGCGTTCATCGCTACCACACACGCATACGATGTAGGAGGGACGAGCTTCGTTGAACCGCATGCGTTTCGCGTTTGTGTTTGTGTTCATGTTTTTTTCTACACATGCTTCGGAAGTAGTTTCGCTCACTGGTTGCTCGCTGTTTTTTTTTGTTATTGCTGAGGCGGATGCGCCGACTAGGGTGCAACGTGTGTGGCCGTAGTGCCAGATAGCCGTAGTCAGCTGCACAGCTAGCTGTGCTTTGCTGCTTCTGCTTGCGGCATGTCTTTGATCGAAATACCTCCTTTATTTTCTCTCGTCTAATTTTGATACTTTTATCTGGCAGACACAAATTATTGCTCCTCTGCTGTTGTTATTATAGTATTGGAAAGTCTGAAAATGCCGCCCTTGATCCGATGTCTTGTTTTTTTCGTAGCCTCCCTTTTCTCGGACCATCATCAGCGTTGGCTTGGCGATCGCTGTCTGCTCGATGGTGCTCAAGATAGAAACCAACCTCTGTTGTGCTCTCGCCGGATCGGTTCGCCTCTCTTTTCTCTTCTGTTTTCTGGTTGTAGATGATAATGAGCAAAGGCCGGAATCGATCCCCCCAGTCTCCACCACTTGGGCGACAACCAACCGCCGAAAGGATTTAACTATGTGGAAACGACAATAATTGACATCATTTGTTGCGCTACATTTTTCCGCCTTTTTGGACCTTGAGTTGATTTTTTTTCGATCCGTATCCATCATCTCAGCAGCCTCTTTCTGCTGCTCTTTCCTCGTCAGGATGGCGTTAACATCCCGGTATCTGCGGGTACGAGGGTGTTGCAGGCTGACACATATATTACACCACCGCCGCCAAGGCGCAACAAAATTGTTCTGGAGAAAGCGAAAGTCCACGGTACCCACCCGAAAAAAAAACAAACCAGCTTAAAAGAGAGGCCTTACGGCACAGCAATCTTCCTTCCCTCGGAGTAGCTCTACTTCCTTCTGCACCGCACGTGCGTTGTGTGTATGACATCCCGATTTCTATTCCGGACGTCGAAATGCAACCTTTGAGAAGTGTATGGGCTTCCACCTGTGACTCAGAAACAAGCCCGGGATCCAGCAGGACGTCGTAGGCCGCGTACAGAGTAAGCGCATGCTACATGGGGCGTACAGGACAGCAAATGGATCGAATGCTTCGGAAGAACTCGCGCGCATCTCATACACTCTGCCGCACCGTCGTGTATCTCATGCAAAGATGCCCCAGCTAGTTACGTACCAACCCGACGTCATCGTGTTCTAGACTACTGCACACAGGCTACCCTAGAGGTTTGTCCCGTGCGGCAGCATCGTCGAGAGCCGGCCTCCAAGTAAGTGCCTGCCGCAGAGGCCTCCTTCCCAAGGGATCGCGCCGAGCGTTCCACACAGACGCATCCTTTTCTTGGCGTATGACGGATGCGGCATCGCTGTTGTGGAAAAAACATCACAGCAACCCCTTGCCGAGGACGTCGTCGTGCGAAACCTTGGCCGTCAGCTGCCCGCACCCGGCGTCGATATCGATCCCTCTTCGTATCCTGTCGAGTTTGCAAGAAGGAGATACACGAGTCCCGATGGTTGCTTCGGGTAATCCCGGTGGTTGTGTTAGGTGCGCAATCATCAAGGCAGACGATTGATTCACGAATATCTCGAGACGCCCGGTTCGACGCATGATCACGATTCCATCTTTCACCCCTGTCCCCGTCGAAACGCTGCCTCTTGCCTCCGGGCTTGGGCTACTACTTGATTGCAGACTGTCGCTACTACCGAAGCCTCTGCCTCTTGACGGCAGCAGGGGTAGGACTACGGCAGAAAGACGAGTTCAGGAAATACTGTAGACGTAAAGAACCCCGTCAGACTTTAGAACTACGCCGTGGAACACCAGCACAAGTACACTGCTATACAGGTACGGCAGACAGACGAGTGCCCGACACGTGGACCAGAAGAACGCTTTCAGCCTGAACAGTACAAGCCCCCTCGACAACAACACCACGCCTGACTGGCGCCTTCGCGAGTACATGAAGCGAGTGAAGAACGAAGTAGAAGGATCGGGGTACGCAGACCCTATTTATTCACTAACTCGACCTTCCTCCATCGCATGCTTGCATGCAACACTTGTACTTTATAACAATAAGAAACGAAAAAAGTCCTGCGAAGGCCAAATACTGGACGACAACACGCTTGCTTGCCTTGGGGTTGCTGGGACCCCGTTCTTGGCCAGCACTTCAACGAACTGGTTCACCGCGTCGGCCATCGACGGCCCCCCCTTGTACCCGTCCGTCGGGTTAAGGGGGATGATGTTCACGTGGCACATGCCCTTGAGCGGCCGGAGCAGCCGCCCCAGCTCCGAGGCAACCTGTTGATGTCGTTCGCGGGGGGGGGGGGGGGGGGGGGGGG